CTGTTTTAAATGCTTGGCATCGATAGTCCAGCTTGTGAAAGGTATGCAAACTTAATTTGGTGTTGTTCTGAGTTTTCGTTCATTTTTGCTGATTTTTTAATTTTTCCTCATTGAAATGTATTGGACAGTCCGTCCAATACATTTCAATGGAGAAAACAAAAAATCAGCAAAAATGAACGAAGACTCAGAACAACACCAAATTAAGTTTGCATACCTTTCACAAGCTGGACTATCGATGCCAAGCATTTAAAACAGGTTTCAAACAGTTTAAGGCACTTTTAAATGAGGGAAAAGAGACATCGGAATGCCATTGAAATGTATTGAGTCGGCTTCAATACATTCCAATATAGGAAACATTGTTTCACTCAACGATGTTTCCTATGGGGATTTTCACTGAACGATGGCAATCCGTTCCAATTGGAACGGATTAACCGGTTTTCAATGCATTCCTATGGGAAATGGTGCTTCACAGAACGATGTTTTCACACAACGTTGATTTTTTTGGAACCAATTAACATCGTTGTGTGAGGCACCACTGTATAGAAGTCGCAGATTCTACTAGAATGGGCTGACACCAGTTCATAGATTGATTTACAGTGTTGCTTCCTAATATGGAACAACCTTGGAACACTATATGGGTTACTGCAGATCAGTAGATTCCAAACTACAGGAATTTGCACCGCCTGGGAAGGAGCAAGCATGAAATGTTTATTTTTTGTTTTGAATTTCAAGCAAACTTTTCAAATCAAAACAAGGAACTAATATATGCTAAGCAGATGACCTCTATGTACCGGGCAGAAAAAATATATTTAGGCTGTGATTATAATGTGGTGCTTCACATTACGATGTTAATACGTTCCAGCGAAATCGCTGTAGAACAAAAACGTCGTAAAGCAATATTAAAAAGCCCATAGAAATGCATGAAAACCCGGTTAATGTGTTCCAATGGGCTGGAAACTCACCGTCCAGCGAAGATCCTCCATAGCGTAGCCATTTCTGGTGGCTGTAGAGCGAGGAATCCGTCCCAGAAAAGAGCGGGGAGCCATTTTGTTTGCCCAGTGGCCATTTTGAAACCACCGATCAGCTGTTGAAAATTCATCACTTTGTGAAGAATCGGTTCCCGAAGCAGGGAACCAATCATCGCAAAGCGAAAAAACCCTATTCAGACCATTGTTTTGCGATCACAAAAGCAATCGCAAAAAGGTCATCGTAATGTAGTTTTGTCATTAGACGGAGCGCTTGTCTTGCGAGGCACCACCGTATAGCAATTTTGAGCTCTAAACAGCAAACTATGATCAGAGAATTCAATATATCCTGCTTTTGCATTTTCCCTTAAGGGAGTAGTCACTGTGACAAAGAGAAATGGAAGACAAAGAAAAAAAACATGCAGGCAGCATCAACAAGTGTAGGTGAGTGATGAATGTCATAATGATGAGATGTGTAGTCAGAGAAATGTAAGATGGAGTCAGACCGGTTCTGTGTGAACATGATTTGATAGACACTGGAATGTGTTTTGCTAAGTGCTTTGAGAATGTTTTTCTGAAGACCGTTACAGCCTGCTTCGGGACAGCGATGAAAGCCGAATCAAGGGCCCTGAGCTAATTGGAGAAGAGATAAAACGCCTGGACTTTCATGGGAATTAAGGAAGGAGGAAGGTGTTGCAGCCCCTTGAGGCTAATTGGTTAACAGCCAGAATTGTCAAGAAGAAGGGAGGAGTTAGAGAGGGTAGAAAATGGACAATGGGTTATGTGAAAGAAGGATTTAGTGGTTGTTGTTCTGGATTTTGATTCCATGATGATGGGAGAGAAAGGACCTTGATTGAGAGAGGATCTAAGTAAAGCCCACTGTAGCCCACCTTAGTATTTTAATTCATTGTATTTACATAACAGTATTTTGTCCTATGAAAGCTACAGAATACTTGCCGGATCCCTGAAACCAACCCCTATGGATAAAATCTCTTACCTAGCAGGTGTTGCATCAGAGGGACCTATTGAGAGAGGTGGCAGCTAAGAGCAAAAAACTCAAAAGACTCTGCCTCAAAATCTGCCTCCACTCTGGGTCTTCCCTTCCCCCTCCCTGAGGAAACATTCTTCACGACCTCTGTGACTTCTGTAGAAATAGCAGAGGATACAGGACTATAATGTGGAATGAAAGAACAATTCAACACTTAACATGGGTAGAACCTCAGGGAAACGTCTAGCCCTCCGTCATACAGAGAACTGGGTTACCTGGAAGTCACTTATAGCCGGCTACAGAATGGAGTGGGAAGAAGAAACCGAGTGGATCTAAGAAAAGAGGCCTTTTGCACCCACATTAATAGAGGAACCGGTGGCCCCTTCACACCTCGGTCAGCGTCCTCGAGGCCCCTCAATGTGTATTGATGAAAGATTTAATGCTAGCTGCCTCAGATCTTCTTGACATTGCCTGTTAATGTGGGGGGGGGGATGATCTGATAAATTTCTTCATGGTTCTGTGGTTTGCAATATTAAAATTTAGCTCCCTGTTCATGAACAGAACCAAATCCTAACAAAGACCTGGTTATTTGGGCAGGCTTTCCCTCATGCAATATCTATCTTAAATTCTAGAATTTTGCCATCTTGGATTTATGTATATGTTTATTGGTCTAGGGTGGGATGTGGTGGCGCTGCGGGCTAAACCGCAGAAGTCTGTGCTGCAGGCTCAGAAGACCAACAGTCGTAAGATCGAATCCACGTGACGGAGTGAGCGCCCGCTGCGTTGTCCCAGCTCCCGCCAACCTAGCACTTTGAAAGCATGCAAATGCGAGTAAATAAATAGGGACCACCTCGGTGGGAAGGTAACAGCGTTTCGGTGTCAAAGTCGCCCTGGCCATGCGACCACGGAAAGGTTGCCTTTGGACAAACGCTGGCTCTATGGCTTGGAAACGGGGATGAGCATTGCCCCCTAGAGTCGAGCACGACTGGACAAAAATTGTCAAGGGGAACTTTTACCTTTTACCTTTATTGGTCTAACTGTTTTTAAATTTGTGATGCCACCTAGACTAGACCTTTGGTTCTAGATGGGCAGGGTAGAAAGCTAATTATATAATTAATTAAATAAATATGTTTCTTAATCAAATTAATTACCAGCTACTGATATCTACTATAAAATTAAGGACTTCGGCATGGAAAATGTCCTCAGGAAGTATGTCATTTTGGAGAAACAGTGTTTACTGTGAATATTGTTAGGCATTTGCAATGGCGCGAAACATTATTGCACGGAATGTTAAGGGATGGCGTGATCCTGGAGAAAGAAAATAGGTGCTTTCTAAACTAAATCCTGGAGCAACTCCAGGATCCCTTTTTTCTGTCAATCTGGGAGAATTGGCATCTGTGGGGATATTGATCCCATGAATGAAGAGAAGGCCTTCCTCTCTCCCGCTTTGGCCACTGGGCTCTTTTGACAAGGGGTGAAGTTTAAAGGGGAACACTCAAACACCCCTCCCCCAAATGGGGAACCTCCTCCTTCCAGGCCCCCTCTGGATTCTCAGACCCCAAAATGAGGCTTTTCCCACCTTCCTGAACGTTAACTTCTTCCAGACATTCAACCCCCCTCCATGCCTGGGTGCCATCATCAGTCCTTCGCTCTCCACCCAGGACCTCGGAAATCTCTCCCTTCTTCGCCTCCACCCACCCTGGCTTTGGCTTCATCCTGCGATACAAGACACACACACACACACAAAGACACACAAGGATCCCCTAGCACCCCCTCACCCCCCATCTTCTCAGCAGCGCTGGGGAGGGAGGAAAGGGAGGGGGGAAACATAGAGCTACGAAAGAGGGAGAGGAGGAGGGGCTGCTTCCCGCGCTGTGTCCCCCTCCCCCACCGGAACCGTAAGTGGGGGCCGTGCCCCCTCCCTCCTTCCCCCCCTTTTTCCTCTATTTTTCTTCCGACCTCTTTCCTGCGTAGACTTTCCCGCCCCGGAGGATCCCAGGCGGAGGTGGGCGGCAGCGCTCTTTTTTGGGGGGGGGAGGAACTTTCCAGTTAGGGAGCTGGAGAGTGAGTGACGTTCAGTAGTCAAGATAGATAGTCAGAAAAATAGAGAAAATTAATAATAATACTGTGTAAGTTAATGAGTGATTCTAAGCAATGAATTAAGAAGAACCTCTGTGACTCAAGTTCAATTGACCTGCAGCCTAAGACCTTTCAATAAAATAAGTCATGTTTATTAGCAAGTGCCTGATGCAAGTCTTGCACGGTGTGGATGATGGTGTGTGTGTGTGTGTGTGTGTGTGTATCCTCTGGTGGCAGCGGATAAAGGGAGGGCGCGTGTCCCAAAAGGGAGTTTCGCTTTAGGGGGAAACAGGCAGGGGGGGGTCAATGGGTGGAATGTCACACCATGTTTTCTTTTATTTATACACTTTAATCCATCTACAGTAATAATATCAATTTTCTCTATTTCTGTGACAATCTATCTTGACTACTAAATCTCACTCCCCCTTCTTCAGCAGAGTTTCTCTCGCTCTCTCTATCTCTGTGTCTGTGTGTGTTTGTGAGGAAACAGAGATGGGAAGTCAGGGCAGGGGGGAGATCCCGATACTCCGAAGGGGCAGCAGCTCCCCCCCCAGCAAGGCACCCGGGCCCCTCTTTGTGTTTGTATGTTTTTCTCACAGTGTCCCCTCAGGTTCGCCTCTCCCTCTCCCCCCCCCGACTTTCTGCAGTCAAAATCTGAACGTGACCCCCCCAGCCCCTTTTGTTGGAAAACTTTGGGGAAGTTGCTGGAAAGCCCCAAGTGGGAAATGGAGAGCTTTTATTGGGGGGGAGGAAGGGGGCTACAAAGGGGTGGGTGTAGGGGGTGGTAGGTGGGACAAGGGGGCCCAGAGGT